CCGCTGTCACGGTATAACATGTTGCCTACGCGCCTGCCACTGGGCTGGGTAAATATGAACTGGAGAGTGTGCGAGGGGTACACTAATTGTGATCTTCAAACGATCTGGTACAATATCGGTCAATGGACACCTGTGGCAATGCGGAGGACGGGCTTGTGATATACCAAGCTCTCTTAACCCGTTAACGCCCAAGTCCTTTTTAATCTCTGGACAATGCGCGATTCTTCCAGGAGTGCCCCATTGGATCATCATTCTAGTGAAATTGAAATCATAATTAACGTTCCCAATTTCTGTTAAGACATGATAAAAGAAAAAAAATGCTGATCTATATATAGACCACTGGGCGTTAATGGATTAATTCAATCAAGATCTCAGAACATCTGTGAACTTCTCCGAGCTTCAGAAAGTACCCGGAAGCTATTCTAAGAATATTCCTGAATATCTGGAAAGTTCCTTGAAATTAAATGAAGTTTCCAAATCTTCCAGAATGTTCCTTGAGTTTTTTGAAGTAACTGCTGACAAACTGCTTCGAAGCTCCCTAAACTGATACGAAGATCACTGACGTTCTAAGAAAATTGTTGAACTTTAGCGATTTTTTTAGCTTTTACGAAATTTCCTGAACTTCTACGAAGTTTGCAGAGCTTCTTAAATGCTTAATATAATATTCCCTACTCGTCTATGAAATTTTACGAAGTTCCTCGAACTGCTACCCAAGTAGCATTGGAAGATTAAGTAAGGTTTCAAAGCATTCGACAAGTCTAAAATCATAGTCTACATAACCCACATAAAACCATAATTCACTTGGGTACGTAATTGGCTAAGCTTCTACAAAGTTTGCTGCTCTTCAACGTTTCTTATTTAATTTCTTCGAAGCTCTCTTTGAAATTTACTGACTATTCCAAGTACCAATTAGGGTTTTGTTTGGGTTCTTAAGACTATGATTTTTACTTGTAGAATGCTTTAAAACCACGATAAAACTTACAATGTTTCTTGGGATGTACGGTAGTCCCCAATTTCATTAAACTTCAATGAAGGTTCCTTAAATAAATACAAGGGCCCTGAACTTTTATAAGATGTGTGTATGTGTCATCCTCTACCCTTCACCCAGCTGGGAGCGTTGGACAAATAGAACTGCGAATGATTTGTTCAAATCTAATGCTCTTGTGAAGGTCCGTACTTTAAAAAGGATTACTTTTGAGGCAAGGCAAGACGTCCTCAACAAGTTTAAGGAAAAGGATGTACTAATGACCACAACAGGTACAGCAAATCATCACATAGACGTCCTTATTCACACTATCTATTCAGGGGTATAATGAAAAGAAGGGACGCCGCAGACAACTCAAGCTTGAACCGGATACCTGGGCAATCCACAATGCCCGCAACAGGCAGCAGAAGGTGTCCTATCGTATTTAGTTGTTGAATATTGTTGCATTTATAAATGCAGTTTATGTTATGTGCTGGAGTAAGTTTATTTTTTATTAAATGGATGGATCCCACCCAAGGGGTGGTTACTCTACACACTCATTTTGCGTCAACTTTTTTCTCAGTGTGCCGAGAGTGCCAGTCATCGGACTGACATTGTTTGCTTGTGAATAATGACATGTTTGGCAACCCGGTTAATCTGAAAGTTCAAATGGTTTGTTTAGAAGCAACAACATAACACGCAGTGGAACCGATCCAAGAGGCAAGCCCCCTCCCCCCAATGGTGGTTTACGTGGTTGAAACTCGAGGGGATAAAAACCGATTCCGGGATGAATTTGTCAAGAGTGTTGATGCAGCTATCTACACTGATGAACGATGGCGTGACCGGTGTATATAGGGAAAAATCACAGCTTGGTTTCACGATGAATAACTCCGATTGCCCTGGTCCTGGTAGCTCGATTGTTTTGATTTGGTCAACTGTTCTCAAATTTTCAGCGCAGTACCGATTGCCCTGGTGTTTTATGTATTTTCTGCTATTGAAGGTGTACTGCTTCGGACAGGCATTAGGATATTCGCAGCTGGGGAATCCAACACGGTTTTGCAGAATCTATGGTGGATTGGTGCATTGGATTGTGTCAACAATAATTATTTGACACACGCTCTGAGCAGGCGCTGAAATAGGCCAGCGTTGCCAGTAACTTCAACGATCATGAAAATTTATACCATGGGTGCCAAACTGTGCCATTGAGTGTACCCAAATCTGTTTGTGGCACACTGTGCGGAGTGACCAACCCCTTGATCTCACCAAATTTTAAGCAGAATCCTGTTCTTCTCCAAACATAAGGCTGACCGCCCACTTTCCCCACTCCTCTTTCTGAATTATATACACCTCTTTCACTCATAACATCGATTCCATATACCAAACTTCCACTACATCGACATCATGGCACGGAACTTTGAGATGATAGCTGAAACGTACATCAGACTGAAGGCTGAAGCTAGGCGGATTGGACTTGCCATCAACGCATCAAAGACAAAATACATGAAAGGAAGAGGTTCTAGGGAAGACAATGTTAGCCTCCCACCCCGAGTTCAGATTGACGGTGACGAAATCGAGGTGGTCGATGAGTTCGTGTATTTGGGCTCACTGGTGACCGCCGAAAATGATACCAGCAGAGAAATTCAAAGACGCATTATGGCAGGGAAGTGCCTACTTTGGACTCCGGAGGACGCTCCGGTCGAATAAAATTCGCCACCGCACGAAGTTGACTGTCTACAAGACGCTGATTAGACCGGTGGTCCTCTACGGCCTATGCTCGAACGGAAGGTGTTGCGTACCATCTACGGTGGAGTGCAGATGGATGACGGAACGTGGAGGAGGCGAATGAACCACGAATTGCACCAGCTGCTGGGAGAACCATCCATCGTCCACTTTGCAAAACATTTCAAAGGGGTGTAATTGCATTTGTAAACAATGGCTTTAGCCGTCGATTTCTCGCGGATAAAAGCTCACTCATGAAAAATAATGACACCAACAGGTAGATGAATGTTTCCTCTACCAGTCCTTCTTCTTCTTCTTATTCGCATTTCAAGCTTATTGCATATCGCATATTAGCTTATTGCGTGCTCTCAACTTAGTGTTCTAGATGCACTTCCACAGTTATTAATTGAGAGCTTTCGATGCTTGTACCATTTTTGCATTGGTATAATTGTGTGGCAAGTCCAATCATACTTCTATGCCCAGGGAAGTCGAGAAATTTTCCAACCCGAAAAATGTCTAGACCGGACCTGGAATCGAACCCAGCCACCTCCAGCATGGTCTTGCTTTGTAGCTGCGCCTTTATCGACTAAGCTAAGGGAGGCCTCTACCAGTTAGCATTGTTATGTTAGAGGGTTGAACTTTTAGATGCGAGAAATCGACAGCAATTACGCCATTTGAAATGTTGGCACTGAAATGTTTTTTATCAGCTCTGATTCTGAGAAATATTTCAATTGGGTTGTTTAACTTCGAAAAATATTCCGATTTTTATACGTCATCTGATAGAGCTTTGTTTTCTGATCACAATGATATTTTTATCGATCCCGTAGACATTCATCTCGATTTTTAAATCAAGATTTAAATTTTTTATCGTTGGGACTAAATCTATTCGTTGACATCTCGCTCCCATAAAATGTCCCACCAAGGAGCGGTAACATGGTGATTTTTGATAATGTAATCGTACTTATTTTAAATAGTTCCAGCGTACCAAAATTGATGAAATTTTGGATTACGAAGATAACGAATATGAATTTACCTCAATACCCATTAACAACCCAATTCTGAGGTGAATTATATGGGAATTCTCAGGAAAATTCCAGTGAATTAAAAAAAAATGGAAGAAGCTTCAGTGTTTCACAGAGACTGTTGATTGACATTTTCAAGGGATTCTCAGAGATAATCTTAAATTTATTTTATTCTGAATGCTGCACTCTGAAGGGAAATTATTCTAAAGGAAATGCTTGAGAACAATCCAATGAAGTCCTGTACAAGGTTTCAAGGTAGCTAAAAAATAGACTAATTTTGAAAACTTCGAACGCAAAACCATATTCAAGATCCAGGAAAAATGCTATTGTCTTAGTAATCGCCAATTTAACCTACTGATCTATTCGGTTCAATCGCATTATACTTAAGAAATAAAGAAGTGTGCTACCTGCAGAGTTGTTCAATACCTGCAGTATATAATTCATGTTCATGTATCTCTAATTCTGAGCTCCATCGTCTACATCATGTGAAGCCGATATCAGCAGAAATTCGAGAACGTAAGTGGCTGGATTTGAAATCCGCAAGCTAGCACTGGATTGGGACCTGCCAGGACATTGCAGCAGAGTCAGGCCCAGGGGCTCATTGCCACGGAGCCCCACAACGAAATCAAGAAAATAATTTTGATCAGGGTCAAGGCGAAAGTCCCCCTCATGTTTCAATCCCAGTGGTGGAAGAGCGCGTGCAACGATCAACTTCGCTATCGAGCCGTGTGTGATTGCACAGCAAATCCTTCAACTCCCATCCGAACGATCAATCAATAAACCCAACGCAAACACAGTTGGTCAGAACTGAATTGCATCACTATGGGCAATTTGATTTCCGCACAATTGCTGGCAAACATTCTATCAATCCATGCACTGACTAACCCCCGTTATTCCAGCATACCACGCTCTTCACCACTTATCACCGTTCAAACATTGCCAAACGCTTTGCAGCGCGCGCGTATCGTAAGTGAAACATATCAAAGTCTCGTTCAGTGTTGGCCTGATAACAGACAGCGACGACGACGACGACGACGACGATACAAATTAGCCAAGCCCGGACTCAGCGGTCTTCGCTGCCGTAATCTAATCGATTTGAGTCACAAAAACCAACACTGAGTAGGTGCCGAACCGACCGACAGGTATGATTCCCGTATTCAGGGCGAATCGGTAACTGACTATCTTCATACAACACCTTGCACATACGATAAGATAACACCGCAAATGTTGCTCACTAGCTACGAACAACACCCGAAAAAGGGCAACCGAATCGAAAGTGTGCCAAGTAAACTTACCTTCCCAGTTGTAGTTTTCGTCGTACGTATCCAAATTGGAGATGAAATAGTCATAGTTTTGGTAGCGGCCCTTCTTGCCCTCGGGCTTCCCGGAGGCCTGAGGATCCACTTCGACGGCATCCTCATCCACTCGCGTATCCTCGTTCTCACTATCGTCGTCCGGTTCTTCGTCGTCCTGATTCGACACGGGTTCCGTTTCCTTTTCTACGTCATCGGTCCCACTGGCAGCGACGTCTTCGGTTTCACCAGTTTCTTCGGTGACGTCATCTTCCCCCTCTGCTGCTGCCTGCACTGTGATTGTCCTTTCCAGTAACGCTACTGCACAGAGCAGTAGCAATAGCACCTTCCACCGCATTTTCACTTTTCACACTGATTTTTCCAATAACTAAATTTCGAAATTTTCACCTGAAAATTCCAACTAGTCTTATTCACCACCTGCTCTTATCTTATCACACTACCACATCTCGATTCCAGCGAACGGAGCGTGCGGAGTTCCGTTCGAATTCGTTCCGTTCGGGGCGTTGTCTGCGCGTAGACTGAGTGGTTCGTTCGGTGGGTTCCAGTTTTCCCAAGTCCCGTCGCTGAATTGGATTCGCTGGCAGATAAGATAAGCGATCGGGATTTTATTTAGTACATCAGGTGAATTTCGATGCTCGCGGAATTCATTGCCGGGGCGCGGTTTCGAAGCGTTTTGTTTTTGTTGAGTAAGTTGAGACCGGGGAGACTTCAATGCTTGTTATTCGAATGAATGCGAACGATTCGGTACTGTTGCTGAAGTAGGTAGCTACCGCACACAGGTTCATTCCGCTATCAGTTGAGTGGGATTGCGATAAATCATAAAACATTGTGATTCATCCATAGTAATCAGTATCCACTATCAGATTCTGGGAAAGGGTTGGTAAGCTGATTAATCATGGTCGTGGAGCTATGTACATATTTTGTGAAATTCACAACTTGACATGAATTGACTTTTTCTGTTTTCAAGCAACAAATGTAGGAACCGTGCGCTTTTTGGACTTTGCAAGAAATCAGAAAACTTTAGTAGCCCTTTCTTAACCTTCCAAGTGCGTTGGAGATACTTTTGAGCTGGAAACACTATGTAAATTTTTCCTAATGCATTAGGAATTAACCACTTAATTGACCTGCATTCGAACGCGGCTGGCGCTGGTATTGCGCATTATAAAGTATAAGATCACCGGTGGTCAATCATGATCATGCTCAAAAATCGGAATTATGGCCATTAGGATGGTACAATTGCTCAATCAGATCATTCTCCCGCAATTTGTGTTAATTTGGATGCAATCTCATACTGCATTGGCCACTTTTTGTTCTCAACGTCATCGCACTTCGTTATAATAATTTACGGAAAGGCTTGTTATATGCTCTTACGAACCGAGAAGTCAACGAAGAGAATCTTTCAATGTTACTTAGGACCTAATGCAATGTTCAGCTTGGTATGCCATTGTGAGTGTTATGTATGTTTGTCTTTGACTGCATCTTGCACTTATGACATAGTAGCCTGGAAATTTTGCCCTATTCTTTGCACCAAACACACCAATGTTGCCTGCTGAGCAGTTTATGGAGCATGTCAGAAGATCATCAAATTACTGATTAATTAATAACTAATTATCCTTACATTCAATTCAAATGCGGTCTTGAGCAAAACTGCAGGTGAGAAAATTTCACATTAGTTCAGATAGCAAACTTTTCTGCAGATCTTTTCAGCGAAGGACTTGAACGATGATAACACTTCACTTTTCGCATACTATTTCCCATATAAACTTCAAAGCCAGTATGAGTTCACATCCCAATGATCTAAAATTTTGTGAAAAATACCAGTACCTGCTTTGAAATTGATTGAGCTTGGTCGAGAAAAATCGATATTTTGAACCACTCAAACTGACTGTTCGGACCAGCCTAATGAAAACCGAATTTCCACAGCAGCACTTCACTTTTGTGTTGTGAACAGCTTAAAACTAAGTATATTTGCGTTAGCTATCAATAATTTTAACAATATTCATTTCAACTTACATTTATGGTTTATCTAATCCGCTTCTTTCTCTTACAGGTTACGTTTTTTGGGAAGTTTTCCAACACTACAATAGTTGAAATAAATTTACAATATAATTCATGATAAATTTACTAAATTTCACTTACGATTGAATCCGAATGTACTTAATAAAAATTCCCACTAAGTTCCGCTTTGGAATAAGTATTTAAACTACTAATATGCTAATATTCACTATATTTTATTTTAATGCAACGATGCAACTACACTTTTGCTCCAATGCCTTTGTTTACATTCAATTAATTATCGTTCTTCTTCGTTTATTTATCTTTTTCATGCGTATTCTGACCATTCTCACACACCCGCACAGTTGGTTAGTTTCAGCTCGATCCTTCACTGACGTTTCGTATCAACGTCGTTTGAGGTTCTGGTAGAGTACGGCGCAAGATGTGTCCATAGTGCTCGGAGGTGCGCACACTGACCATTTTATGAGAGCTCATAATTTTAAACCGTAGTTGAGTACAGATATTGTTTTAGAACTCCGTGGTTATATTTATCAAATACATTGAGATATGGGGTGGGGTGGTTTGGTGGTTTACGTGGCGCGTTCTTCACATCTAGGGTTACCACCGCGCAGTAACTAATACCCCTTCGTTTTCGGTGGAGCACCTCTGCCGTCTGGATGACGTCACGGATGTCTTCAACCGTGGATCTGCCTTTACGGAACCCGTACTGGCTGCTTGACAGGCCGTCTACACCTTCAGTGTAAGCCGACAACCTGTTGCGGATGACCCTCTCAAGCAGTTTACCCGTGGTGTCCAGCAAACAAATGGGCCTATATGCTGACGGGTCCCCAGCTGAAAAACAGAACGGAACATGTCTGGATTTTCCACAACGACCGCCCTCAGAGCCACAACCGGGATCCCATCTGGGCCCGAGGCCTTGCCCACCACCAGTGACTTGGCAATATCGCTCAGTTCTCTGTTCGTCACTCTAGACACTTCTCCCTGATCCGCGACTGGGATCCGCGGCCAGGAGTCAACGTCTCTACGTGGAAACAAGAACCCAACGATCGACGCCAGCATCGCGTCGCCATGCCATGGGTCTTGGCCATGACCACTTTGTAGGCATCCCCCCATGGGTTCGTGTTGGCGCTTTGCCATAAGCTTAGGCATGGTTGTATCGCACGCCCTTGTCAGATCCGGGATTATTCGCTCCCGCCTCAGTGCTTCACCGAAGACCTCTTCATCGAAGAACGACGTCCGCCAGCCTCGAGCGCAGGAAGGATTCCCTCCTGCCACTCGCCTCTCACCTAGCCCCACACTGTAGCGGATCACCTGATGGTCACTATGGGTGTAACTCTCATCGACCCTCCAGTGTAGGTTGCCCTCCAAACACGGGCTGCAGTACATCACATCAATGACGGATTCTGCACCATTCCTTTTGTAGGTACTGACTGGCCATTGCCTCCAGTAGGATGCATCCTCTCTGGTTGGTGTGGTGGCTGCCCCACTCCACCGCCCATGCGTTATAGTCGCCCGCAATGACCACCGGTCTTAGTTCGACAAGTACCGCAGTGAGTCTGTCCACCATCTGCGAGAACTGCTCGATAGACCACCTGGGCGGAGCATAACAGCTACTTAGATATACTCCATTAACCCTGGCGATCACGAATCCCTCTCTCGAGTTGGACGCGACTACCTCCTGAACGGGGAAGCTCCCCATCGTGCATATCGCCGCCATCCCCAACGCGTCCGTGACCCAATTCCCGTTGCCGGGTGGGACGCGGTACGGGTCCCCATTCCGCTGCCGATTGCCATAGCAGTTGCTGGGCAGCCGAGCAGTGGTTCAGGTTCAACTGCGCTGCCTTGAACATGGCTAAGCATTGCTCTTGGCCTGGACAGCATTGCTCTTGGCCCCTGGGCAGCGTGGGCCACCTGCCATGTGGTTGGTAGGGGATTTTCTTTTCTCCGCGCATATAGTGCACCTCGGCGGATTTTGGCAATCTTGCGCCTTATGACCCTCCGAGCCGCACCATCTGCACAGCTTGCTTCTGTCAGTGTTCTTACAGTCCCGAGCCACATGGCCCTGACCGAAGCACCTGAAGCAAGCTGTAACCGGTCGGGGAATACTCACGGGGTAAACCGACAAGCCCACTCGCACCCTCTCTGTGGCTGCCGCCTTTCTGGTATCAGCTGCCGAGAGCTTGACGGTAGCCACCTAGGTGGAGAACAGTTCCTTCCTCAAGGTAACCGCTGTTGGCGGTATGGTACCTCGATTTGGCACTGCTCCCTGAGCGCCGTGACTATCTCGGTTGCCTCCGTCACTTCGTCCATGTCCTTGACCTGGATGGTGATCGTCGAGCCTAGCGACTTCACCTGCACCCCATTACCAACGACCTCCTTTGCCAGTTTCTGGTAAGTCGATCCCTGGTCTTTAGCGCCACGCTTGAACACCAGGAGCATCTCGCCAGTACGAGTGCGCCTGATGCTCCTCACGTTGCTGCCAATCTCCGCAAGACGCTCGTCCGTTCTCATCTTCTTCAAGACTTCCGCGTATTTCGACGCTTCCGTCTTAAAGATGAGAGCCTCGCCCTTCGTCTTGTTCCTGTTCCGGGCAGTGCTGCTCTTGGGGGCAGTTTTGTCCGGGGGTTTCGGGGGAGCGCCCTTCTTACCGCCCTGCTTGGAGCTACTATTTTCATCAACTGGTCTATTCACCATTTCAGTCTTCTTCTGCGGTTCGTCCACTGTTGCAGTGGACTGATGGGCCACCGCCACGCACTCCACCTGGGCAGAGACTTTCCGTCTCTTAGGGCGTGCCGTGCCCTTTACTGGCGAGAGTGAGGGCCGATCGCGCTTCTGTCCATGCGTAACGGCAAAGTGGAGGGCCTCGCTGGCCATCGTTTTGTTGCCCGCGAAGTTGAAGGCGTCCGTCTGGGTAGACTTCGGTTCCTTCTGTTCCGCCCTCTCGGCGACCTCTAGTCACTTCCTAAGCCGCTCGTGGTCGTCCTGGGCCTCGTTCACAGTTGCGTGGAGCTGTCGCAAGGCCTGCTTTAGGTCCTTCGCGATATTGTTCCGCGTGCTCGTGAACTCAATAATGGCGTCGAGCTGTCCCGCGATTGCCAGCATCCTAGGGAGGGGCCCAAAGCTATTCATGACTCTGATTAGCCCGGGCCCGTCCATCGGTTGCTCCTCCGGCTGTCCACCGATCTCGTCCGTTGTCTCCGCGTCTTGCATGGGTGCCATGGGTGCCTATGCGAGCAGTGAGCCCATGGGTGCCAATGCGAGCAGTGAGGTCCATGACAAGGGTTGACATAGGCTTTCATGGGGCCGGATCCGCAAGACGGGAATAACTCAACCGAACCTATTCCCACCGCAGTTTCCCAACTGGGTGGCACAGTCAGGAACGTATTCTAAGGCCTGCCAAGGTTTTATGGGACGGAGACGGACAAGGCATTAGCTCAAACGTCGTTTCGGTTGGTTCCACCCGACTGTACTAAGAGAATGAAATACCTTGGCCGCCAGCCCGTAGCATGGTTTATGTAAACGGGTTCCTCTCGACTTAGTCATCAACT